GGGGGGGGGAGCGTGACTGACTCCTCGCACCGCGCGTTCAGATGCGCGCTAGTGGCTGGGGGAGCCTCAGATGTCTCCGTCGTGATGTGCTTGGGTGCCCGCTTGTATGGAGGGGCGCACAGCTCGGCCCCTTTCCTGGAGCTGGTGATGTCTCCTAAACCCCGCGCAGCGATTTTGGCCTCAGAAAAACCCTTTGCTAGATTTCAGTGTTTGTGTTGTCTCTTCATTATCCTCTCTGGGGGCTAAAGCATCCAGGTGCCACACTTCAGAAAGGCAACGACAAGTGTTTTCCTAGTGTTTGTCGAGCCTATAGGTAGGCTTGGGAAGTATTTCGTTTTTGGCTAGTAAGCATCAATTTCATAGAACCCACATAAACCGGTGAAAAATATTTGCATTAGTACTAACTGAAAAGAGTACAGAGAGGCAAAGTAAGAAAACAAATGTTGCTTGGGAGCTTATTGGAGTTTTGATTTGTATAAGTTTACATGTGATGTTGGCAGTTTGTGAAGGAGCTAAAGATTTAACTTTTTACATCTTAACATCTGCTGTCATTCATTATTTTCTGACTCCTTCCCCCAAGTTTGTTGCAGTCCTGAACATTTAAAGAGCTAAAATTGGGGGGGGGAGGGGGGAAGGAATGCTTAAAACCCATAATTTTGCACATCTGAAAACATAAGAAAGCTTAAAAAGAAGCAATAACATCATAAAAATTATAAACACTGAATTCTGCTAAGTCTTGTCATATGTCCCTCTTGATGTAAAGCAACATTCTATTATTGCTGCATACTGTACTGAGAATTTGAATCTTGGGTCTTTCCATTCACCCCTCTCACCCTTTTTTGTTTGTTTGTTTAAACTGCTTGTTTTGGGTGGTGTTTCTATTCAAGAATATCACTTCACTATGACACACAATCTTCAATATACCTCTTTGACTAAACAAATGATTAATCAGAATTATTTTGAACATAGCTGTATCCTCAGCAGTGCTGCTGTAAGCTCTCTAACTGCTGCTCTTAGCTTATAGGAGAAAGTGCTACTTCAGCTTCTGTGAGTGACCATAGCTATGTCCAGTGTAATTTGTGTTGCTGAGTGGGGTAGTTTATTCCTCCCCCGCCCCGAGTGACATAGTTTATGCTGAAATAAACTGCAGTGCAGACATAGCCTTGGGGCATGTCTATACTGCTTGCTAGATGGACAGGTAGTGATCAATTTAGTGGAGTTCGATTTATTACATATAGATGTACTTAACTGCTGAGTGCTCTCCTGTCAACGTTGGTGCTCCATCAGAATGAGAAGTTTAGGCGACGTCAATGGGAAGGCATCAGCTGTCCACTTAACCACAATGAAGACACTGCAGTAAGTAGCAGCAGGCTGTCCACTTAACCACAATGAAGACACCTGCTGCTACTTACTGCAGTATGTCAGCTTCAGCTAGGTTGTTCATGTAGAGTAGGTAGTGTAGAGTAGGACTCCGCTGACAGACCTGGTTCTTTGGTTTGAGTAGTAAAGGTTGATGTTTTTGGGTCACAACTAGCAGGCTGATGTTGAACCTAGGACTTAAAAGCATAAGGGGTTCAGAGGTGCTGCTACATATTCTTTTATTGAATAATTATGTAATCTTGTTGCTGTGTCTACTTTCTCTCCTTCCCAACTCTGCTGTTGTTTTTCCTTCAATTATATGTCATGTCACTTAAACGTTTTGAGGCATACACAGAGGAGGCATGGTTTTTTTTTTATGGTTGGTAAATAAACTAATATAGAGTACTCCAATTCCATGCACCACACCTATTTATTTCACTTGGTAACATTATTAATGGTGGTTTTACGTTTTTATTAAAATCAAACAGCTTGATAACCACATTTGTTTGACAGCATTGTACTTCTATTGTTGTAAATAGCACCTGTGACTTGCTAAGAAATGTGGTTTCTTTTGTTCTTTCTATATATTTTTTAAGTTTATAGGTAAATTGTGGTAGAACTTTATATACAGGAGGACAAGGGTGGGCAATAATTTTCACAGGTGGGCCATTCCATGCATTTTGGTAAGTTGTCATGGGCTGCACACTTCTGTTATATTAATAAATGGGGTGCAAGGTCTGAGGGTAGGCAGGAATTCTGGGCTTGTATAGAGCGTTGGGGTGTAGAAAAGGGTGAGAGATGTGGGCTCTGGAATTGAGTTTGGATGCAAGGGGGGCGGAGCTCTGATCTGGGAGCAGGCATGAGGTTCAGACTCTGGCTGGGAGGCCACTTCTAGAGGTGGCTCCTGGCTCTCAGTGTGCTTAGGCAGTTATCCTCCCTCAGCATCCCACTGTGCTGTGGGCTGGACAGAAATGTTAGATGGGCCTGAACTGCCCTATGGGCTGTATTTTGCCCGGCTTGTAGTAGAATCTCAGAGGTGCAAATACCTTGGGGAATTAAGGTGTCCTTTTTTACTTGCGCTACCTGATTGCATACTTCTGGTTCCAAATGAGATGTGCAGTTGACCTGTCAGTTCAAAACTCTTCCTCCTACCTTAGAGGCTCTACTGTAATCACTGCTGCTGAAAGGCTGAGAACCGCACACATCCTGTTGTACATTTTACCTTGACTCCATTGCACCCCACTTGTTTGTCTACCCCAGCCTGCTCAAATGGTGCCACTGTGATTGATGCAGCTGCATTGATTTAGCAAGTCTAGTGAAGATCCAGTAAGTTGATAGTGTTAAGGTAATAAAAATTGAAAAATCAAGGAATTTTAAAATATGGTTCATTATTTTAAATGATCATTCTTACATAAAGTACAATATACATATTAGGGATGTAAGCGGCTAGTCGAGTAGGTCTCCTTCCCCCCTCCCCCCCGCCTTCCCGGGGTGGGAAGCAGGAGCTGGTGCTAGGGGGAGCCGACTTAAAAGCCGGTTTCCCCCCAGCACCATCTCTGCAGGGGGCAAGAGGAGGCAGCAGTGTATTGGGGAACTGGGCATGAGCAGAAGGGCATCATCTAGAACTGGTCATGAGCTGGGACAACTGATTGCCAGCTCGTGTCCTGTCCCCTGCTGTGCCTCTGCCTTTTTAAATGTAGTCGTGGCTGTTATTACATTTAAAAGAAAGAGCCAGGAGCTAACCCTGCTATGGCTCTGCCGATTTCTCCCCTTACCGACTAATTGAGTAGTCGATGGAAATTCCATCGACTACTCGATTAGCTGATTCAGTGAAATTCAACATCCCTAATAGGTATCAATCTTAGTATCACAGGAACTTGTCATTTTTATCCCCCCCCCCCCCCCCATCACAAGCTCTCATGTGAGGCTATAAAATGTATGTTATATAGCAGATAGACTAGAATGTTACTCTTTTGACTAAATGAAAAGATGGGAGCCATCTCCCACTGCGTGTAAATTTGTAACCGCTGATGCTACACTTCAAAGGCGAAAGCGCTGCAGGGAGCACGGGGCCGGGGGGGACTGCTTGAGTCCCTTGCTGGCCCTAGGCTGCACATGTCATTTCAAAGCAGTAGCACCGCACAGAGCCCAGGGTCTGGCAATGCCCTTTTTATAGCATGCCCTTTTTGTTTAGGGCTTTAAATTCACTGCATGGTCACTAGGATGGGCAACCACAAATAGTGTGTGGGCTGCATGAGTGGCTCTCCTTCACTTCAGTGGGCTGAAGCAGGTTCCACCTGGGGCCCCACAGCTCCCTGTCTGTCTCCTCACTCCTAAGTGCCTCTCATGCAGTGGGGCACCAAAGCCCAGCACTTACCTGCTCCTTTCCTTCCCTCCCAGCACTTTTGGAGCACACAAATTGCCTGATTTGCATTCCATCCCTGTTCTGCCCTCCTCCCCAGAGTGAAATGCTACAAACAGCTTAAATATAAATATAAAGCTTTACACAGTTTTAAAGTGCTTGCTAGAGATCTGTTTATATAGATCTAAAGGAAATCTTAATTTACTCAGTGTCTTGACATTTATGCTGAGCAGCTAGGTTCCATTATAAAATCCTGTTTTATCTGCAAGACTGATCTGGCCTGTAAACTGCTAGATTTACTCTTAGTGCTTCTGCAAAATTTGATTTGAGTTATAAGTCTCTTAAAGAAAATTAAAAAACACAAAATAAAAAAAATAATTAAAACAATCTAATTTGAATAGTCTTTGCCTGACCTTGTCTCCGAGTTGACTACAATTTCAAACTTTATGCACATTCTGATGTCTTTAACTTGTGCACTGACCATATATAAAAATAGGTGGTTGTTGAGCAGAGTTTTTGTTGTGGATAGTTATGAATCTAATCCTGCTTTCATTGATTTCAGTATAAGGTTTGTACAATAGGGACAGGATTGGGCAGTTTTGTGATCATGGTGCCCTCTGTTGATTGGCCACAACATGGAAAAACTATGAGTGTCAACATGGCTGATAGAAGATCTGTTAATTTTCTCCAGTAGTGGAGGCTTATATGTTTTAGAACTAGTGGTTCAGGGTTCCAATCTTGGCTCT